TTTCTTGGTAAAATATGTCTGCAGTAAAAGAAGTGAGAACTTGCTATATATCCAAGTTGAAAAGGATCTATGTAAATGTAATTACATAACAATTTTTATACATGCTGTCTGAGCTGTTTTCCAATTGCCCTTGGGTGTCGTGTGGGTGTAGAGAGAAAGTGCAGTTTTATATCACTTACCCAGATGACTTGATGTGATGTAGAAAGCCAAAGTTCTTCACCTATAAAAGAGGTACAATGTCAAATAAAATCAGACTTCTCAATGTGTTACTAGTGTTACAAATTATTTTACTTTTTTTAAACGAAAAAATGTAAATGTTTTAATTGGGGGGGAAAAGCTCATATAAAGACTTATTTAAGTATTAATATTTATTATTTATTTAGTACTTTAATAAATATGTAATACTTTTACCTAAGGGTGTCTAGAGTCACTCTGGTATACTGTATACATCACTGAGTTAGTTTGAAACCAACTACCCTGGATACTGGTAGCAGTCTAACCATGGCAGCCTGGAACATATCATGGACTGCAGAATCTACCTTAGTAGCATAAATGAGCCCATATTGGGGCCTATGCTGCCACAGCTAGCAATAACTCCAGTGTAAGGACATTCCTTTAAAAGTGTCTTCAAGTTCAGCCTTCTATTTTAAAATCTCTTCAGAAAAGGGTCTGATGTCCAAAACACTGAGCATTGCTGCTGAAAGTTGACAGAATGCTAACCATTTAGCTGAAAGATAGTCTTCCTATTTCCATTGTTGCTAGAATCAAATTGGAAAAACAGGAGACTGTTCACATAATTAATACCACACTTTTGCTGTTCTGGAACCAGTTTTCCTAAATTTAGTCTTTGCATGTGAAGAGGTTCTCAAGTTTTGCAGAGTTTTTACTATAACGAGGAGATATAATTCAAAGGGAAAGTTGCTTCTTGGCTCTTTGGCCTGGAGTTAAGTTGAATAGACACACATTTGGAAAGTGTCGGCCAGTCAACTACTTCATTTAGGCTAGGTACAGACATTTGGGGCAGTTAGAAGGATCTTAGATGGCATTAAAAAATGCTACCCGATCTAGCTTAGTTTGCCCAGGTGCAGACCTCACACTTAGGTTGACCTAACTAGAGATCAAAGTGCAAAAGCTAAACAAGTTCAGGAAGTTCAGATCAGTCTGCAAATGGCAGGCCCAATCCAAGTTAGCTGTACCTTGGAGGTAATCTAATTTACATGAGGTCAGACGAGACTGATCTAACTGAACTTATGTATAGTTTTCAGTCCAGCCGCTAACCCCAGCCCCAAGGCTGCGCTTTTCCTACAACCTGTCCACCCCCAGCACTGGACTATATTTAGCCCCCTGTAGGCCCCACTTAGACCCTTCCTCCCCCTCTCCTGATCAGGTGGGCTCTGGAGCCCATGTGAGTTTGTCATGTCGGCTGGAAAAAAACTCTTAAGCCTCCTTTAACGTTGACATTGAGGCCCATACCAAGCCCTGAACTCACTTCTTTTTTGTTTAATAACTTGGCACATAGGCTCCTGAGCCACAGAACAGGCACAGACACCCTCTTTCATATAGTATGAATGGCCAGACTGCAAGCACACACCACATCATGCCACCAGAACAAAAAACAACAACAAAAATAAGTGCCTTAGAAATGCTTGCAGGGCACCAACTGAAGTACAGGCCAGGATCTAGGGTTTGGCATGACATCTTTACACTCTGGAGACCTAGTAATATGAGCGTCCTGTAAGAGGTCCCTGTGCTGTGCAAGAAGAGTTATAGATTCATAAAGTCATAGAAAGGTAGAGCTGTAAGGTATCTCCAGAGGTCATCTAGTCTAACCTCCTGCCTGAGGCAGGATCATCCCTATCCAAGCCATCCCATACAGCCATAATCTAAACTCTTAGACTACCATTAACCCTAACAACATAGACCTAACATCCTAACCTGCCACAGGTAAAGCAGGGGAACCACAGTAGGCAACATCCTGCTTCTATAACATGTCAAGATACACTAAAGAGAGGTAGAGGGCCATGACACCTGCTACAGAGGAAGGCAAAAACCCCTACAGTCTACCAGTCTGACCATTTGGTTAAATTCCTTCCGGACTTCAAATATAGTGATCGGTCTGACCCTGAGCAGAACGGCAAGACCCTCGAGCCAGGACCCTCCAGCTTTGGTCCCAGCAGGATCCCAGTCAAAGTCCCCAGCCTTAACTATAGCCAAAACCCAATGGTTCTGGGAAGGCTTAAAAACACCCCGACACACGTAGCAGAAAAGGGCTGTGGGGAGCATAGCCAGCAAAGTCCAGAAGCAAGGGAAATACTGACGGTAGAACATAGGTATAGCTACACCTAGATCATCCCCACCAGTAGTTGTCCAAACTCTTCTTGAACACCTCCCATGAGGGAGAGTTTACAACTTCCCTAGGCAGTTTATTCTACTGCCTCAATGTTCTAACAGTGAAGTAGTTTTACCCTGGAGATCCAATCCAAATTTTGCTGCGTCTTCAAGCCATTGGTCCACATCCTTCTGTCTGCAGCAAGAAAGAAAATATGCTTTCCCTTTTCTTTATGGCAGCCCCTCAAGTATTTGAAGACTGCTATCATATCCCCTCTTAAGCACCTTTTTCACAAGCTGAACATGTTCCTTCAGCCTTTCCTTGTATGATTTGCTTTCCCAGCTCTTGATCATTCTTGTTGCCTGCTTCTGGACCTTCTCTAACTTCTCCATGTCCTTTTTTAAAGTGTGGAGACCAGAACTGTACCCACTACTCCAGACGAGGCCTAACCAGTGCCAAGTAAAGAGGCACTATTACCTCTGGTGTCTTGCACCTAATGTTTCCATTGAAGCATCCAAAACTGCATTCACCTTTTGTGCAGCTGCATCACGTTGCAGACTCATACTGAGTCTGTGGTCTAACAAGACTCCCGAGTACTTTTCTATAGAGCTGCCATTCAGCCAGGTGCTACCCACTTTATATTTCTGTTTTTGATTATTCCTCCTGAAGTGTAGCACCTTGCATTTGTCTCCATTGAACTTCATCCTGTTATCTCTAGCTCAACATTCCAGCCTGTCAAGATCCTGAACTGTGCTTACATCCTCCAGTGTGTTTGCAGTCCTTCCCAGTTTCATGTTATCCACAAAGTTGACAAGAAGCTTTCTATGCTAGCATCCAAATTGTTAATAACCATGTTGAACATCACTGGGCCCAGGACAGACCCCTGTGAGACTCCACTTGAAACCTCCTGCCATTCTGACATGGACCCGTTAATAATTCCCTATTGTATGTGGCTATTGAGCCAGTTATCTATCCACCTTATAGTAGTTTTATCTAGCCAACATTTCATCAATTTGTTTATGAGAAGGTTATGTGGGCCCTTGCCAAAAGCCTTGCTGAAGGCCAGATACAGCATTGCTTTCATCCACCCAACTAGTTACTTTGTCAAAGGAGGAGATCAAAGTGTATTTGACATGATTTATTTTTCATAAATCTATTCTGGTTGCATGTGATCAGCTTTTCCTCCTCCAGATGTTTGGAAATGGCCTTCCTTAGGATATTCTCTAGTAACTTCACAGGTATTGAGGTGAGGCTAATTGGTTTTTAGCTCCCCGGGTCCCCCTTCTTGCCTTTGTTAAAGAGGAGCACTACATTAGCCCTTTTACACTCCTCTGGTACATGGCCTGTCTTCCATGACTTCATGAAGATAATTACTTAGGGCTCCGAGATTTCTTCTGCCAGTTCCTTCAGGACCCTGGGAGGAAGCTGATCTGGCCCTGCTGACTTGAATTCATTCAGACCCAACAAAAGCTCTCTGACTGTCTCTCTTACCTCCTCCCTTGACATGCCCCCTTTTTTATCCAGCTAATCCCTATTATCTGGCTGCAGTTTAAATTTTTTGTGAAAACTGAGGCAAAGTAGCTGTTGAGTAGATCCATCTTCTTTGCATCTTTGGTCAGGAGTTCCCCCTGGCTTGTTAACAGAAGACCCACAGCTTCTTTCATCCTTCTTTGCTTATAGAACCTCTTCTTGTTGTCTTTGACCTTCTTTGCCAGGTGCAGCTCATTCTTTATCTTTGCCTTCCTGATTTTGTCCCTACAGTTTCTTGCTACTTCCTGGTATACATCTTTGGTGACCTGCCCATTTTTCCATTGTCTGTATGCTTTCCTTTTGCATTTGAGGCATTTTAGAAGACCCTTGTTCCGCCACATTAATCTCTTGCCATTCCAGTGCTTCCATCATGCCAGGCTAGTTTCTTGTTGGTCTTCCAGTACTGTACCCTTTAGAAGCTCCGAGCCACCCTGGGTACCTTTATCCTTCAATCCGTCCTCCCATGACACCCTGCCTATTTACTCAATGAGTCGAATGAAATCTGCTTTTTTGAAACCTAGCATCCTAATTTTGCTGACCTCATTCTTCCCCTCTCAGGATCCGGAATTTTGTCATATCGTGATTGCTTCCTCCCGAGTTATCCATTACCTTCACATCCTCCACCAGTTCCTGTTTGTTCAGGTTCCAAGATAAATGATAGCCTAGTTGTATCCTCCATCTTCTGGAAAAGAAAGTTGTCCTCCACACAAGTTAGGAACTGGCTTGACATTTTATATTTGGCTACATTGTTCTTCTAGCAGATGTCTGGAAAACTGTACTACCCCATACCTTTTGGATATATTTGTCACCTTCTTGAAGAGTGCCTCATCCACCACCTCTTCCTGATTAGGTGGCTGTAACAGGTTGCCCTCCCCAGCGCCATGTTTCTGGTTATCCATGCCTTACATGGGGCGCCCTTGGGGTCTGCTTTGTAATTCTTTGGTCCCGCCCTAATCTTGCCTGCCACATCTTGATGCGGGGGGGGGGGGGGGGGGGGGGGGGGTGTTTTTTTTTGCGCGGGAGACACCCAAAATAATAGGCAATGTTGGGGTCTCTCCTATTAAGGCTTGACCCCTGTTTTCTCTGGCTAGGCCTCCCTGTCTGAACCCACTAAACAGGGCTTGACTCTGAGGCTCTAGCTTTTTTTTTCCTTCCAGTGCCTGGAGGCTCACGGCCCCCTTTCCTGCTCCTTTATGGAGCCCAGAACTCCCTGGCCCAGAGGCACAGAAGCTAGCCCCACAACCAGAGGGTCATGGGCTCAAAACCCGGGTGCAACCCCAAACCCACCTCTGCCAGTCCAAATGAAAAAAGACAAAATATAACTGCACTCAGGTGCAACAGACCTTCCTGGCCTTTTTAAGATAGTCCTTCAAGTACTGGGGTTTGTATCCCCCCCAAAAACTGTGCCCTCACTGGCACCGGGGTCTGTGCACCCTCAGTGGCGCCAGGGTACCCACTCCATAGAGGGTCCCCAAAATAAGGCCTCCTCTGTTTCCTAATAGCCTCTCCCAAACCTCTGGTTCTCAATAACCAAAAGAAATATGGACAGTCCCATCCGGGTGCAATAACTGCCCTCAATAAAATAATAATAAAAATACACGTGATCGTGTCATCTTAAGTTTATGCTGGGTTCGTGTTTCGGATCCCATCTGTTGGCTTCCGGGGCGTCTGCTGTCTCTGAGAGTTTCCATGGTCCCCTCTTCCAACTTTTGGACCGCTCACCAAGCCTCTCCCTGGAGCTCTGGGATGCACCCCCTCCCCTTCAGGTGCCTGCTTCCCTACTGCTGTTCTACCCTGGGTTCTTATAGTCCTGCCCCAGCTATTAACCTCTTCTGCACCAGTTCTCTGGGCCCAGAAGGTTTGGGCCTTAAAGGAGTGGGCCGGCTTTCTAGTGACAGGGCTAGCCCAAGGTTCCCTGTTACAGTGGCCTATAATAAATTCTCACCATTATATCAGTGCCACGTCTTTGACTTTTCATCTTCACCCAAATGCATTCTGCTTTATCATCATCTTCCTTCTGAACCAGGGAACAAGTTCTGTGTGTTTTTGACATACAAGGCAACACCACTGCCTTTTCTCCCAATCCTGTCCTTCCAAAACAGTGTACCCCTAACTTCACATCCTTTTCTAAAATGTGAAGTCCAGAACTGCACACACTACTCCAGATGAGGCCTAACCAATGCCGAATAGAGAAGCACTATCACCTCCATTGTCTTGCACGTAATGCTTCTACTGATGCATCCCAAAACTGCATTCACCTTTTCTCTTCCAGAAGGAAGAGAAGCGCAGAGTTCCACAACAGGCTCAATAACGATATGTGGGGAACTCTGACAGGGCTGCTCAGAGGAGCAAGACCTTCCACCCTGTGGCCCCAGAAGCCCCTGCTTCCCAGCTGACATTCCCACGAAGAGGCACTAACCAATCCTGAGCTATCCTGAACCCCTAGCTGCACTATCAGCAGTTGAATCCCTCTCAACACCAGCTTTGGCAAGTTGGAAACCATTCTTTCCAGTTCCTTTCTGGGGAACCTGAGGCACAGGCTGATTATAGGTCAGCAAGAGTTTTCACCAGGTATCTTCTCTCACCTGTGAACTTGATGGCTGCTGCCCTCATCTCCAGCCACATACTGTTCAAGTACCTCCTGGCCACATAGCAGAGACCCTCTAGGATGGCAGGTTTCTCCTTGGCCTAGAGAGAACCAGGGATAAGTGAGTTCTTCTTGGTGAGAATTGTTTTCACACCACACACTGGTACCAATCAGGAGGAAATAGGACTACTGAGGGACTAGAAGGAGTCATCTTGGCATCTGGGCCAGGTTGATCTGTTCTGGACCCAACTCCTGCAATTATTGGAGGCAGGAATGGCAGAGCCCTGGGACTGGGCTGAGGAAATCAGGGTTTCTGGTTTTTACCTTAGCAATCTGAGGGTTTGGGTCCTCCAGGTGAAGGACCCATGGCATCAGGCATTGCCCCTTCCATCTTTTCCCAACATAGCCTGCCAGGATGCCAAGGAAGGAGAAAGCTAATAACCAAAGGGTGTCATCCTCCTGCAACGAGGAAACCCCATAGCTTGGTCATGACCAGTCCTTTTCCTGGACCCAGCACAGCTCCCAGCAGGAACTTTTGGTTTCCAAGGCTTCCAGGGCCCAGCTTTGTGGTCTGCTAAGGAGTCAGGGCTCCCATGGTCCCTTCTCTACATGGGCTGCCCAGGAGCCACGACATTCAGCAGAGCTGGGGCAACAACCGTAAGTGTAATTCACTTAATGTGGTGTTGCTGGGGGGCCCAGTTCTGAAGCCAAACAAAACCAAATCCCTCAGCACCCCTGATTGCTCATCTCTGCCCAGCTCTGCTTGCAATTCGGAGGAGTCAAACTGACAGGGAAGAGTCCCAGAACTCTGCAGAGCCCTGTGACTGCAGCTGCAGCCTAGCCCAGTCTCCTGAAAGTTTCTCTGTGTTTCCAAGATGAAGTATAAAGGGCAGGAGCAAAAGGCAGGGGCATCCCTGTAACCCCATTCTCTTAATTTTCTTTCCTTCCTGAAAACTTCTCTCTTTCATGTAAAAAACCCTCCAGTTCAGACAGAAACAATAAGCAGTGAGGGCACCTTGCACCTCTGGAATGGCCCTGAAGGAAGATCACTAGAATACGGGAATGGGGAGTTCTTCTCAATCACATGTTCAGAGAATGCCCTGATATGCGTGCTCACATCCAAGACCACAGGTCCCACATCCATCCTTAGGTGCCTGAGGACTTTGACCAATGTCTTCATGCCTTCCTGAATGAGCTGTTGACTAGAAGGTAGACATGAGACCTGGAACAGCACATCAAGGAGCACCCTCCCATGTTTTTTCAGCTGTACACACAGGAGACATTACACACTGATCAGTGCTTACACTTCTCACTTCTGGGCTTTCCCATTCATGGAGCATTCAGGATTTCATCTGATCCAGCCACCCTGGCTACATTCCAGGGTGTCTTAGAGACCCCAAGGTTCCCACTTCTGCATGATAATGACACCAGTTAAACCCCACCAACTACAGAGACACTGTAAGGGTGTCAGAGAGCACAACTGGATGGAATTCAGGTTCTCCTACACCCTTTCAGCCCTGGCTCCCATCAAGAGACTATTGTCTGGTTTCAGCCATCAAGCTGCCTTCTAGAGAGCACACAGGCTATTTGATCTTACATTCTTTATGGGTGCCTGGCTGGTCGTTGTAGCATATGAAGCACTGGCTTCAGAAGCTTTTGCTCCTCGATGATGGGGTTACACATCAGCTAAAAAAAACCAGCACATCCATGAGATCTAGTGCAGTTGTTCCAAAGAGCTCTTGCACCAGAAACAGAAGCACTGCCATAGCAGGATCCCACAGAACATGCGAGGAAACGCCTCCGCACATGGCACTCTCCTCTTGGACCCCAGGAGACTTGACTGTTTAGAATTGGTGGCTTAAGGCATTGGGCAGAGCAGCTGCAAACTCAAGGTGCTGGGCTCTAGGCCCCTGAGAGCAAGAACCATGGATGCAGCTTAGAGCCAGAGACAGACAGCTTGGGAGAGACAGGGAGAAAGCTCCAAGTCTGATGGGAAGAACAACAGCAAGTTAAGGAAGGAGTTCACCTGTGATACCAGTGCATCCCACTGCCAAGAGCCAGGGCAGGAAATCACCTACCTCAGATGTTTCATGGCAAGCATAGCCCTGAAGCAAATGGAAGAGGCCAGGGAATCCATTGATGCCTCTCCGCGAAGCCCTGAAAGGCAGCGGCAGAGCCATGGCACAGGGGAAATGGATGTGGAAGCGGAGATTCCCCTCACAAATCCTCCAAGCTGACCTACCAGGCAGGTCATAAACAGACCTAGTGCTGTACTGGCTGCTTCCCCAGGAATGAAGTGACATGTCACTCACACCAGGGTTGCCAATAGGTGACTGCCTTTTCAAAAGGAAAAGATGAGATACATGCCCACCTTGCGCCCACCCCCCGTGCTGCTGGCGGCAGCACAGGTGGACTAGAGCCAAGTGTGGTGTGAGTGCGGGCTGCTCACTGAGGTCTCAGGGCTCCCTGCCCTGCTGCCTTTCCCCCAGGAGACCTGTGCTGGCCACGTGACCCCTGCCCACCTGGCAACAGCAGGGGGCACAACTCCATGCTGCTGCTGCTGCCCCCACCACTACTGGGTGGGCAGGGGGTGCCTCACCATGGCAGCGTGGCCAGTGCAGGGCCTACTGAGGCAGAGCAACAGGGTGGGGAGCCTCGAGCCTGCAGCCGCTCATGCCCCCTGCCCCCTGGACAAGCTGCCCATGGCTCTATTCCACACCATGTCCCAGCCCCATGTACTGCCCTGGCTGTACAGCACTCCCAGCACCTGTCCCACTCCCTTATTATGCCTTCTGCTCCTCCCATACCCTCTCCCCGATCCATAGACTTACCTGCAGGGAGCTGCTCTCCAGGCTGCTTGGCAATGTTACTGCCCACGTGCCTGCGTATGAGCATGCACATGCACATGGCACCCCCTTCCTCCAACTACTAGCAGCCCCTTGCAGGCTGGAACACTGCCAACCTGCAAGGGGAAACCCAGTGTTTCCCACAGATCCCTGCATGATGGTGTGAATCCAGAACAAATGCTGTCCCGGAGTTATGCAGCCTGGGACCAGGACTTGAGGTTCACATTCCAGGAGTGTCCCACCCAATTAGGGATGGGTGGTCACCCTTGCTGCTGATACACTTTGCCTCCAAAGCAGGAATTGCAGGTGACCAAGTAGCTATGCCAGCAGTAATAGCAGCTCACCCCTGACAATCACAAGAGACCCAGAGCTCTCAGAACCCTAGCACTGGGGCTTTGTTTTAGACGCGCACCACCTCGGAGAGGCCTCATCATGAGTCCTTCATCATCAATAACTGCGGCAGAGAGAGCTGCCGTGCCACCCTGTGCCATGGAAGTCAGGTGGGGTTTGTGACTGATGGGAACTGGGGCTGCATCAGACCCGAGGGAATCTCTCAATCCCTAAAGTGGGTGGGCAGGAGGCCTCAGAGGGAAGGGAGTTCTGGATTCTGCTCTCTGCTCCTGGGCGTTCTCATGCATTTGGCCATAATGAGTCCCCTGCAAAGTTGTGCATGGGAAGGGAGATGGCCCTAGCTCCTGTGCTTTGGGCTGAAGCTGAAGCTCCCAGCAGACATTCGGCTTGCTGTGAGTGCACCTGCTGGGCTCAAACAGCTGAGGGTGCTGAGATGCTCAGCTCAGCCACAGTGGTAGCACTTGTGGACTGGACCTGCCCTGGAGCAGAGCCATAGGCTCCTCTGGACATTTCCCAGTAAACATAGGTTCCATTGGGCTCTCTGGACCCTCAAAAGGGAGGCAGGTATGTGTGTACATGTGCTGCCACTTGCATGCATGCATGCATTCATGCATGTGTGCACATGTGTGAGCAAGCACACATGTGCATGGGGATTAGGTGCTTAGAGCTGGTTATATTGTCCAGTCAATAAAGGCAGTGAAACAGTCCCTCCCTGCAGTTCCATCTGGCTCAGTGAAGACAGGAGGGAACCAAAGAAAATACCTTTGATTGGGAAAACAGAACAGAAAACCACAAGCGCCAGAAAGAAGCCCTATGCAGTTTCCTACCAGAGCCCCGTGAAGAAGATGCAGAAACCCTGGCATTGCCAAGACCAAGCACCTTCTCTGGGGAGGGGCTGGTGTAGCTGGCCACCTGCTGCTGCAGCTCCAAGCTCAGCTGTCATTATCGATGGTCCCCAGAGTCATTCCCAGGAACTGAGTACACAAGGGAAGGGGAAGCAAAGGATTGGGTGCATGAGCTAAGTTTGCATCCTCCTCTGCTGTTACCTTTCTGACACGCAAGTCTCACAGGGAGAGGACTTCTTCAGAGAACTCTACAGAAGGACAACTCCTGCACCCTGATGTCCCCTCTTCAAGCCTGCCTCAAGATCTCTTACAATCTCTGACCTTCATGGACAGAAATCTGGAGAAGGAAATTGTGCCAAGAAACCTGTCTGTGGGGGAGAGATTGTGCAGAGTAGAGCATGACTCAAGTCAGGGAGGGATCATAGGCCCCACATTGGCACATGTTTGTATTTTGTGTTTAAGTAACTGGATGACTGGACTGTGGCTGGAGGCTGGTGTGGAGGCCACACATGGGGGTGCCTGAGGAACACTTGGTGTTTTAGCCCTGCATAGTAGGGCTGCGTGAAATTTTGCTGGCTGTTTCGATTTGACACTGTTTCGACTCATTTCAAGCTCAAAACAGTGAAATCGAATCGAAATGAAGGGCTTCAGAACAGCCTCGAAACAAAATGAGGCTAGTCAAAATGTTTCAAAAGTTTCAAAACATTTCAGGTTTTGAAGCAGCCAGCAGTGAGGTGGTGAGAGACATGGGAGAGCCAGGGCTGCACTCCCGGCTGCTGCCGGGCTGCGGGAAGCCGATAACAGTGCAGAGGAAGGGAACTCCCCTCCCCAGTGCTGCGATTGAGCTGGGGAAAGGAACTGAGCCCAGCGGACTCCACGCCCCCAGCCTGATCTAGCAAAACTTCGAAACAGGGTCGAAACAGCCTCACTGTTTCAACGAAGCAAAATGGAACAGCTGTTTTGAATCTAAATGAAATTCAGAACAGAACACCATTCCGTCGAAACCTCAAAACTCAAGGCGAAATGGAACGGTGCTGTTTCACACAGCCCTGCTGCTTA